CAGCCTGAGCCGTGCCCTGGAGGTGGTGGGGTCCCCCTCAGCAGGCAACCCAAGGTCCGGCCACCACCCTGGATGAATGATCTGCCAGTCAGATGACCTACCAGTGCTAATGTCCTGTCTACCTGAGACTCATTTTTTTCCTCTAAAATGACGCCGTTGTGAAAATGCTCTGGAACTAGATAGAGGTGGTGGTTTGCATAACAATGTGCCTTGTATGCTTTAAAATGGTGAATCTGGGGACTTCCCTGGGGGTCCAGTGGTTAAGACTCCATGCTTTCAAGGCATGGGGGCGAAGTTTTGATTCCTGGTTGGGAAATAAGAGCCAGCATGTCTTGAAATAGAGCAAGAAAAATTTAAAAATAAAATGGTGAATTTTTATGTTATGTGCATTAGACCACAAAAGAATTAGACCATAAAAGAAAATAGATGACATCATTGGACAGAATGATCTCAAAGCTGTCTTTAGCTGTAATGTATAATGTTTCTGGGAGGGAGCACATGGCTTGGGGGACGTATGTCACCAGACTCTTATTTAACAAAGACAAGTCATGTAGATAATATCTGACTGAGGGGGGAATGGCCAATTAAATTCTGGTTCAGACGTAATATGGAATATTACATGGGCTTCCCAGGTGGCGCTAGTGGTAACAAACCTGCCTGCTGATGCAAGAGACAGAAGAGACGGGGTGTTCGATCCCTGGGTTGGGAAGATCCCCTGGTGGAGGGCTTGGCAACCCACTCCAGTATTCTTGCCTGGAGAATCCCATGGACAGAGGAGCCTAGTGGGCTACAATCCATGGGATCGCACAGAGTCGAACATGACTGAAGCGACTTAGCACATGCCTATGAGAGGTTACGCTCATGAAAACACACTTAAGGCCACAGGAAAACATGATATAATGGTAAAGTGTAAGAAAAAGGATTTAAACTACCCATAATGTGATCCTAACTTATAAATACAGATTAAAAAATTAAAACATTAGTGTTTATCCCTGAATTGTGGGATTGCAAATGATTCTGATTCCTTTTATCTTTTATACAGTTTTCAACATGCCTACAAAGAGCATAATGATTATTATAATTTAAAAAAACTACTTAAAAACAAAAAGTAAATAAATAACAGTCCTCTGGGTTTTGTAACCCTCAGTGTGAACCAGGATGTGCTTTGGAAAAACAGGGCAGCAAAATGGGAAGTGCCCTGGTCAGGAGAACTTAAGTGTAACTCCAGTTCAGCCAGGGCAAAGAGCCCCTGCACCCTACTGGGTCTCAGTTTCTCAATCTAGAACAGGGGTACAGAAACCACTGCGGACTGCACATGTTTCGTGAAGAGCAAATGAGATCGCCAAAGTGGGATGGTTCTGTTGATTGAAGAGTCCTCAGCCCGTTTTCTTTGTCATGGAGTGCATTCAAACCGTACATTTCCTTCAACAAAATCTCCTTTAACAAAAACTTAATGAGTGCTTATAAAGTCAGTGATTGCCACTTATCCAGGAATTTAAGAGCTCATTTCCGGTAACGCGGCTGCTGTTTGTTCTCATCTTTCTTCTTATAACCTTAATGTGAAAACATTTTATTTCACCTGAAGAGTAACCACCTGACTTTGATTTACAGTCTTAAATTCAAGGAGGTGATGATAAAAACCAGTTTAGCTGAAGGGAAATTGCACCCACCCCACCCCCATCCCATCCCACTCCCCGCCCCCCACCCCGCCCCCCGGGAGCGAGTGCGTCTCTGGAGGAATCAGGTCCCTCCCCTTTGTAGGAGGGGGCATTTGTTTCCTTGAACCATCCACACCTTTGAACTTTAGAAGGGGTTTTGAGCTGCTCTGGTTCTTGAACTTTAGAAGGGGTTTTGAGCTGCTCTGGTTCTGCCTGTCCTGGCTTTGAGACCCACTTTGAAGGAACCATAACTTACAGGACCTTTTATTCACACCTGGGGGTTCTCTTTCAGACTTGGGCTCCTTGAACCAGCATGAACAAAAGTCCATTTTGGCAGAGTCGTCAAGTACACTGTTTCTCTATCGGACTGCTTTCCTGTTTAAACGAGCCTGTGGGGTAGATACAAAGCATCATAAGCTTGATATTTTATTTGACACTTACCTTGCTTTTAAAGGTGGCTCAGATGGTAAACAATCTGCCTGCAATGCGGGAGACCCAGGTTCGATCCCTGGGTCAGGAAGATCCCCTGGAGAAGGCAATGGCAACCCACTCCAGTATTCTTGCCTGGAGAATTCCATGGACAGAAGAGCCTGGCGGGCTAGAGTCCGTGGAATCGCAGAGTCGGACACGACTTGAGTGACTGATAGTTTCACTTGCTATTAAAAGCACACTTTCCCAATGCAATGAATTCAGTGAAACATTTCCCAAGCACCTAATATGTATCAAGTCCTAAAGAAATAGAGTTGAATAAGATGTGTGGTCCTTTCCTTCAATGAGCTCACAGAAGAGTGAGAGGGATTGGCACAAGCAAATACAGTGCAGTTGACTAGAGAAATGCAGACGTCCAAGGGACCTGAAAGACGATCTTCAATGTGGTCACGGGAACAGATGAGCTGGTTCCGAAAGTGGAGCAGAAATGTGCCAGGCAGCCAGGGCCAAGGAAGACTGCAAAGGCTGAGTCAGAAAGCAGGTACAAAGATACCAAGATAGCCTGACTTGGTGACTGATGGCATGCTTGGAAGTGGGAGCTCTGAGAATGAGGCCATTTAATAAAGAAGAGTAGAAAATGGCCTTGGTATTGATCTCAGTGCTGTGGGATGCGGCTCTTCTTTTCCTGGATCTCTTAGCCAGTTGGGCAGTATTTATTGGCTGTGTACACTGTGCTCAGGGTGTTACTGAGTCCAAGCTCATACTGCTCGCCACACGACAGGCCAATAAATAGAGAGACAAGTTGTTGGGGCAAGGAATAGCGACTTTATTCAAGAAATCAGCAGACCGAGAAGATGGTGGACCGGCATCACAAAGAGCCATCTTCCCTGAGTTAGAATTCAGGCTCCATTTATACTAAAAGGGGAGTGGCTAAAGTCCTGGTTCCGGTCAGACTCCAGAGGGGATGTGTTAATTTCTTCCTTCCTGCAGTCATTCAGAGGTGGGCCTAGTCAGGAGGTTTCCTGTGAACTAAACAAAGGTATTTTAGCTTGACGCTCTTTCCATGGGAGACAGCCTTCCCAGAGACGGACCGTTATGTGTCATTTAAGCTTATCGGCAACATCCCTTTAGTGATGGACTTGCAGCAAAAACAATAGAACACAAAGGCTAAAGTAAAAGTAACAGATTCGATATGGAGTCAGATTTGTTCTTCCCCACTACAAGGGTTCTGTCTCTGGAATGGACACACAGGTGGAAAGGGTAATGCCTCCCCCACCCTCACCCCATCAGCTATGGGCAGGACAGGAGACAGGGAAGGAAGAGGAGCTGCAGGTGCAGAGATGGGCACTGTCTGTGGAAGGGAGCCGGGTGTCCAGCAAGCACGAGTCTCTGCCTCCAGGCCAGGCCAGAGGGCAGCAGGCTGGGGCGGCGGCAGCGGTCAAGGCCTTGAAAGGTACAGCGTGTCCAGGGCGGTGACAAGAAATGAGGAGGGCAGAGAGGAAACCGGGAAGGGGCTTGCGTGCCAGAGGGAGGCTATGGACTTGATCACACTGGCGCTCAGGAACCTCAAAGATGACCAGTGTCGGAAGTGGGCATCTCTGCCAGGTCTGTTTTAGAAGGCGGCCTCGGATACCTCGTGGAGGATGAATCTGTGGAGGATGGGAAAGGCCAGAGGCTGGAGGCCCTGTTGCCAGAGTCCAGGAGAGGACAGACAAGGCTAGGGCAGTGGGGACAGTGGACTGGGTTCCAGGAAACACTAAGGAGGCCGCGAAGGCGGAGGGAGAAGGAAGGGCTGGTGTTTGTTCTGATTCTTTCTGCTTGGGTCACTGGCAGATGGTGGTGACCTTGGAGGAGACGGGGAATGTGGATTTCGGGGGAGGGGAAATAGCCATGTCAGTGGGAGGTACCTGGGGGCCATCCTGAAGGGTAAGCAGGTGATCATTGGGTCTACAGGTGAGAACATTCCCGCTGGAGGGGCATATCTGAGTGTGAGTGGCTGTGAACTTTCTTGACTGTCAGGAAAATTTCAGGATGAAATATCCAGGCAGGAATCACAAAATTACAACACTCTAATAATTCCTTTTTTTTGGTACGAGTTCCAAATAAGAAAATAGTTAAGCTGGAAAATGTAATTGTGCCTATTCCTAGAATTGGGTAACTGATGTACCTTTGCAAATTGTTCATTGAACTGTGCCTATGGCTTCCTGCCAGCCCTCAATGAGATTTTTATATTTCCTAATTATTCAATTACTACCCATAAGTAGGAATTCGAAACCAAACCCAGACGCCTTCATAATTGAGTATTCTCTTGAATCATGAGTACAGAAAAGGAAGTTGTCCATATTGGGAAACTAAGATTGTAGAACAGAGGAAATGTATGTCTCTTGCCCTGTGGCTCTGTCCTGGGCTCAATTTTTCAGTCATGTGAGCTTAGGCAGGTCACTTTTATTTTTTAACTTTTAAAAAAATGTATTTACTTTTAATTGAGGGATAATTACAGTATTGGGTTGGTTTCTGCCATGCGGCAACATGAATTAGGTATCAGGTAAATACCATAGATATATACAGGTATGACTCTTTGGGCAGGTCGCTTCTTTGAGGTCAATTTCTGGTTCATACATAAAAGAATAGTAATAATAGGGACTTCCCTGGTGGTCCATTGGCTGAGACTCTGGGCTCCCAGTGCAGGGGGCCCAGGTTCCATCTCTGGTCAGGGAACTAGATCCCACATGCTACAACTAAGACTCAGCACAGCCTAATTAATTAAAGAAAAGAATAGTAATAAAACACTCCCCCCTCCTCCCACCGCCACTGCTGCAAATCTAAAGGAAAGGAGAATTTACAAGAGAAAGTGTTCTGTGTGCAAACCCACTCTAAATGTTGGTTCTATCATTAACTCCTTGTTTGTTACAGGTCTCAGCTGCTGGGGAAGCCATTAGCCTCAAAAGAAAACCCTCCACACAGCGATCTGGCCAGCGCCTCACGGGGCAACGCCAACCCCGACGCCCACCTGCCCTCCATCTGCCTCAAGCAGGTGTTCCCCAAGTACGCAAAGCAGTTCAACTACCTGCGCCTGGTGGACAGGATGGCAAACCTGTTTATCCGCTTCCTGGGGATCAAGGGGACGATGAAGTTGGGACCAACAGGCTTCCGTACCTTCATCAGGTCAGTGAGACCAGCCCCCTCTGGCTGGGGTTCAGGCAGCCTGGAGACCAGCCCGACATCTGGCTGGCCCCTTCTCCCTGACTGCCCCTGGGAGAATCTGTGATGCCAGATTGGGCCCCGCTGGGCTGGGATTGGCCCAGCAGCTGGCACTGGGCCTGGCATATAGTACACTCTTGTTCACTGAACGAATTAATGAATGCTACAGATGTGACAGCATTCACAACCTTGTGCTTGTGGTTAAAAGACAATTCTGTGCTACCTTGAGCAGGATCCTGAGACCGGAGATGAATAATTGCCCCTTGGACTCAGATCTCATGCTTCCTAAACTGGGTGAAGTCCTCCCAGGACTGCATGGCTGAGTGCTGAGTGTTTATGAAGCTACAGCAGAGAAGCAAGGCCTATCTTTCCAAAGTGTCATTTTCAGGAGAGAAAAGTTAAATAATTCAGTTGATAAATAATTTAATACATTTATTCTAGCATAAAAATAATGTGGTTATATTATGAAGTATAATACAAAATTTGCATGAAGCACAAGACAAAGAAACTGTGTTTTTGCTACATCCTACAAAATAGGCCATTGCCACCTAACCTGCTAAGATTATTCATTAACTTGCCTCTACCCTCTAGGGCACTTTGAGGGCAGTACAGTGGCACTTATTAGCTGTGTGACTTTGGGTAAGTTAATGATGGTCTCTGAACTTCGATGGTCCTAGAAAATGGGGGTGAAGCTCCCAGGCCCTAGGGTTGTATGTTATACATCTCAGAGAAACTATCTGCTAGTGTTCAATGCTGCTGCTGTTTCTCTCATCATTGGTTTTAATATTTCTATCTAGTAACTCAAAGTCACCCTCTTCATAGTTTTATTCATGAAGGCAAATAATTAGAAGTCTGGAATTGGAAACCACTTTGTCATGTGCTTTTCTGTAAATGAATTTTATAAATTCTAACTCTAGCCCTCTGATACTCCTGATAGGATAGCATGTGGAAGTATCAGCAGGAATTTTTGCCATCTCAATAAACCTGAAGTCATATTCGCACAGTGATTCTGAAAAGGACTTTGTGTTAGTTTCAGGTGGAAAGAAAGCCCAGTGGAAAGAACACAGGCTTTGGGGTTTGGCTTCAGAGCCAAGCACATTACTTAATAGCTATGTGGCTTTGAGCAAATCCCTGTCTTCTCTGAGTCTCAGTTCCCTCATCTGTAAAATGGTAATCATCTCTCCCGCCTCACAGGGTTGTTATGAGGTTGGGATGTGTTATATCATAAAGGATCTGGCCCACTGCCTGGTTTACAGGAGCTGTTTGTGAAATGGGAGGCTTGTGGTTATTATTTCCATGAGGCAGAGGGAATTTTCAAGAAAGTCAACAGGCATGTACTGTTATTTCCCTGAGAAAGCTACCTAACGTGATACTCTCTGACTCAGTTAGGAACTACATTTGACTTGTAGGAATAGATACCCATCGACAGGTGGTTTAAATAGTGAGACTAATTTTCTCTCATTTAACAGGAAGCTTGGCAGTGGGGCTTCTAGGGCTGGATAATGACTCTGAAATATGATCAATCAACTCCCCAATTTCTGTCTTTCTGCCTACCCATCCTGAGCGTATGCTTCAAGCTTCAGAGTTGCCTTATGGTTACAAGATGGCTGCTCAAAATCCAGCCACTGTGGTCGAATACCAGGCAGGAAAAAGGAAGAAGGACGGAAGAGCAAAAGACATCAGTCAGATGCTTCCTTTTATTTCCTAGTGTCAATATAATTCTGTTAAGCTGTGAGAGAGCAGGGGAGATTTGAAAAGATTACATGCTACAAGAATCACATCTCAGTTGCCTGGCGGATGGGGTGGGGGGAGGGCGCAGGCAGGAAGGATAAACAAGCCAGTGGGTGGTATCTACAAGGATGAGGAGGGCAGAACTGTGGCAAAAAGAGAGGTTGTTGGGGAACAGTACCACTGGAGCTTTTGGTTTTTCTAGAAAAGCTAGAAATACCAATTTTTATGTAACATCTCAATGCATGTATATACAGAATGTCGGTGATTCAGAAAATTACTTGGGGTTCAGCCAAAGCGTGACTGCCCATCGAGTCCTCCAGTGTGTGACCTGTGAGAGGCTGAGGCATATATTAAGAGCACTGCTATTCTTATATACAATCTGGAAAAGGAAATTCTTGAAAAGATTTGAGAACCATTCTAGCAAAGAAGGTTCTTAAAAGGCAGTCAGACGGGAACTGGATGATATCGGGGATATTGCTAGAACTCTGTCTCTGTGTGAGAGGCTTTATGATTCTTCCATCCCTTTGTTCTCTCTAATTAAGAGTGTTTGCATGAAAAACTTGAATACGTGATGTTAGCGACTAGTGGGTCCTGCAGCCATCGTTCCCAGTCTGTGGCCGAGTACCATTAGTGGGAGCCGTGGTGACCGTGACAAGTGCGATGTTTCCAGGGGCAGAAGAGGCAGCTGGAGCAGAAGGACCCAGACAGCGAGCCCCTCTCCCCGCCCTCGGCACCTCGCCCGGCAAGTGTCCTGGGTAATTAGGGATGAAGGAAGACACGAAGAACACATTGCACAACGGTTAATACATTTCTCCTTTAAAAATGTACTAAGACATCCCAACAGCAACTTTGTCGTAAAAGGTGATCTTCTCGGCTTTCAGATTTGTATCTGAATATATTCCGTCTTGCCAGCCAAATTTGACAGTGAGCGTTTTCTCTTGCTAACAACTATTCTCTCTCTCTTTTCCACTTGGGTTTAAATTTCGCTTCATTATGAATTGATAATATTTGTGCCATGTGTTAAATCAAACCAAGTGCCCTTCTCCGGAGCACCATGCTAGAGACATATTTGCTGGCTAGAGAACCTCCTCTCTGAGCTCCCACACAAACGGCAGAAGTTGAACTTGGCTTTCATGGGTCCTACCCACTCTTCCTCTCCAAGTTCCTGGAAGAGAACTGGAGGGAACAAAATAATAAACATTGCAATTGAATTTATTTCCAGTGACCATCTCTCATAATGTGTTGCATAGATCAGCAGTTTTAGGAGTGAATTATGCTAATGCAAGTCTGGCCATATTCTATTTTTCTTTTCAACCAAGAAATGAGAAATAATGAACTGTCGTCCTCTTGTCTAGAGTTAACTCTATCTAACCAGCTTGTCATGTCATTTCCTCAGGAGGCACATAACAGTAGCAAGTATCACCATGAATTAAGCACCTTTTTGTTTTTTTAATTTCATGATAATTGCTGAGGTGTGGAGACATCTCTTTTTCTGAGAAATGGAAATGATCTGCTCCTTCGGTTTGACAGCTTTCTCTGAGGGAAATGCATTTTTGTTATTTTCCTCCCATCGCGTTCCTCATTTGGGGAGCTTTCTGTGTAATTCACTAAGAACACGTTTCCCAGACGTATCCTCCATCGGAATCTGACATCAGTTGGCACAGGCTGCAGTTTCCATTTCCGCAGCCCGAAGATGAAGCGGTTTGCCAAAACCGGAGTTTATTTCTAGAAAATGGAGGCAGCTTCTCCACACCTCGAGTGTTCGCTTCACGCCCGGCCATTCTGCCTGGAGACCCCCCACTCCGCTCCTCTGTGGTTTCTAATCCCAGGCACCTTCTAAATTAGAAAACGGCTTTCTCTTTTGCCTTTTTTTCCCTCCTTCCACTGCCTTTTCTCGTAAGGAGATATTAATATGCTTCCTAATGTGTAGCTGTGGGGAGGGGGGAGGGGTGTGGTTTCTTCTCTGAGAGGCAGCAGGCTGTGTGAGAATGTTCTGGAACAGAAGTGTCAAGGGGCCCTGCCTCCCCCTCTGTCATTAACTCCTCAGTGACTTTGAAAATTTCCTCTGTTCCTGTGATGATTTCTTTCCAGTAATATCATGAGATGTTATGCCTGGGATATCAATAGCCTTTAAAAATAGATAAGTTATAAACCAAAGTTGTCTTTCCCAATCCCCACCAGCCAAGATGTTTAGGTAGTGTTCATTTTTTTCTTATTTAAACAACTACTGATTATTTGTTAACTTTCACCTTACAGAAAGCTCTCCAGGAAAAAATAAGCGTCTTTTCTTTCACAGAGAAGGATGAACACAAAAGGAATTCTATAAATAGGGTTTTATGGAGTGGAAAAAGTTGGTTTCTAAATTTCCCATGAGATGTCAGTAGTTGTTGAGAGGAAATGGGGATGATAATTTCAAATCTTTCTAATCTTAGACTCCTAATGAACTTGAACGATTTGTGATTCTCATTCTGTGCACCCATGTTCTGATTCCGGAAAGAAACGAAGAAACAAAAAAACCCCAAAATCCTTTCTGGAAACTGGCTGTACATCATGGAGGAAGGCTGAAAGCTGTCATATGTGCCAGGCACTGAGCTAGTCCTTAAAATAACTTTGTATGGTGAGTCACGATATCGTCATACAAATAAGGAAATTTAGATGCAGAGAGTATCAATGACCTGCTCAAGGTCACATAGCAAAGTCAAGATTCAAACTCATGTGCACTTGACTCTAAAGCTCATTTTTCACATGTACATTTCTAGCCCATCCTTTCTTAGGAATCTTTCTGGCTTCTCATGTTACCGTATTTCTTGGATTCCTCTTCCACTGAAGAATTCATCCCACCTCTCATTAGTAATTTGAGGGTCTGCCTCCCACGGCATAAGGGGAAATGGTTCAAATGATCAAGAGCTAACAAGGCCTCAGCTTTTTATCCCAGACTGTGAGATGACGTCTACCATCCAAGAGCATATCCAAGACTCATCTGGATCCAAGATTTGTGTCACTCACTGGGCCCAGAATACCACTTATACATAGTAGACACAAAATAAATTCTGTATTGAGTGGATGGATGGATGAAAAGTTCACTCCAAAGTCTTAACCCTTAGAGACATTCCCTGCTTGAGTCCATTGGTGACCACGGGGACAAACCTAGGAAAACTTAGTGACCCTGATTGTCTTACCCCACCCCCAGCCTAATATCCCAAAGTGTCCCAACAGGGCCTCTCTAGAGGCTCCATCCTTTCTGGGCTACTTGAGAATCTGTCTCTGGAATCTTGGGTTCTTCCTGCAGCTCTGGGCTGGGCCACTTCCCCACTTCTTCCCAAAGTTCCCAAGTTCACAGCCCTATCCTCCAGGGGAGCCCGGATGTGAATCCCAGCTATGTGGTCTTGGGCAAGTCATGTCCCTTCTCTTGAGTCTCAGCTTACCCAGCATTGAAATGGGTCTAAGAATACCTCCCTCATAAAACGTTAGAAAGCTCCAGAGAACTAATGAGCAGGAAAGAGCCTGGCACACAGATGGTGCCCAAGAAAGTGCCTACAGAATCAGAATTCTCACAAGCATTTCATGTCAACTGCAGCCAGCGTGGATACCTCCCTTTCCTGCCCCAGTCCAGATGTTATCATCAACTGTATTTGCAGGTATCACTAGGGAGAACAAGTTACCTTGGAAAGGGGATAGATGGAGAATCATCTTTGGTAAATTACAGCTCCTACTCGAGGTTTGACACTTCTATTTTCTGCCTGTCAGGAAAAAAATAACTGTATACAAGTGGTCAGTCTGGTTTCCCTTTTTATACTCCATTAACCCACAGGGTAAGGCAGGCAGAGCGCCTGTCCTGTGGGGAACAGGTACTCCAGAGGACATGGAGATGATAATTAGTGAAAACCCATAGCTGCTTCTAATGAAGCTTGGGAAATGAACAGCACGGGTTGTTAGAATACCTTGGGAGGGACTGGAGCGGGTCCCCTGCAGGACCCAATAGAGAGAGCCATCTCGGTGACAGGTGACGTGAAAAGCTCTGCGTCCACTGACATGTTGTTACTGGGGCTCAATAACTGCGCTGATGTGCTTTGAAGTCTGCCACAGTGACTTGTGATGGAGATACAGAGCGGAGCCCAGGAGGAAGCAGGATGTGAACTGATGGCCTGAGGAATACAGGCGGGGAAGAAAGGGGAGAGGGGCCAGAGAGATGGAGGGAGGGAGGAAAGGCGGGAGGCCGGGAGGATGCTGGCATATAAGGAGCACCAGCCTCATCTGGGCACTGTGCTGGGCACCCACCCAGTCACACCAGGGGTGTGCATGGGTTTGGAGGCAAGTCCTGCTTGCCAATCAACCCCCAGCCTCTCGGGTTCCTGAGGGAACTAGTCACGCAAGAGATGATGACAAATGGGAAACCAAAGAACCACTTTATCATTAGCTGGGGTGACGGACGTGGACACATTTGAAAGGTTGAAAGCATCATGGAATATAGTTCAGCCCAACAGACAGCTGGCCCCGGGGTGTAACTTTCAGGATTCCTAGGGCAAATCCAGCCTGGGTGGGGATTCCCCTCCCAGCACGACCCGCTTCAAAAGGTGGTGCCTCTGGACCAGCTGAGTTCTGCCTCCATTCCAACAGACCCCTCATCCTCATACCCAGATGCTCTGACTGGCAAGCCCCGTTTCTCCAGAGTGGACAGGGCCCCTCACTGAAAAGTCAGCCTCAGGTAGCCTTTGACAGGGCTGAGAAGGTTCTGGCTTTGGCAGAGAAAGAGGGAAACTAGAGAGAGATAGATGAGGGAGGAAATCAGCCGTTGTCATGGCCCCAGCCAGGTGCCAGGCCCCAGGATACACAACCTCATGTCTTCTTCACACAGACCAGTCACACAGCTAGAAGAAGCCGCAGGGCCAGGATTTTAGCCCTGGTCTGTCTGATGCCCAAATCATGCTCTTTGCAGCGTGCCTGCCCACAGTAACTCTAGTAAAGACTGCCTGGTTAACAGGTCAGGAGGCTGAGGCTCAAGAAGGGGAACTAGTTTAATCAGGGCCATTTGCTCCTAAGTGGCAGAGCCAGATTCAACTCAAGACTTGTCATCCTGAAGTCCCTGCTCTTCCCAGCCCTTTAAAGCCCTTCTGAACCACATTACGGGACCCTGCAGAGGCAGTGAACGGTTTGCTGCCATTCACCTTTGGCTAGTTCCTGCTGTGGGGGTAGAGGTGGGGGTCGGGTGGCATCCAGCGGGGGAGCAGAGCCCAAACAAAGGCACGAAGGCCAGGCAGGACAGGCGGCTCGGGGCTGGCAGTGACGTGTCCTCTCCCGTCTCGGGCAGGAACTGCAAGCTCAGCAGCAGCAGCTTGTCCATGGCCGCGGTGGACATCCTCTACATCGACATCACGAGGAGGTGGAACTCCATGACCATGGACCAGCGGGATTCAGGTACCTGATCGCCAGCCTCCCTCCTGTCCTGCGGGAGGACAGACAGGGATGGCCGGTATCTTTTCTCTTCCTTCTTGTTAAGGGTCAGGGTTGGGGAGGAAGACGACCGTCTTATTGCCACCAAACCAAGCTTGGGTGTGTTTGCCCGTACGCAGTAAAGCCAATCTGCTGACTCAGGTGGCGGCAAAGGAAAGTGCCGTGTTTACCGCAGGCCAAGCGAGGGGTCCAGGCAGCTCAAAAGGCCTGAACTCCCCAGTGGTTTCCAGGGAAAGGCTTCTAAAGGTAGGGTGAGGGAGAGGGTGGCAGGGTCCATGATCAACTCGTGGACATTCTTCTGATTGGTTGGCTGTGAGGTAATCAGGAGTCCACATCATCAACCTTCTGGTTCCAACCTGTCTGGGGTCTCTGTGCTTGTGGGTGGCATGCAGTTAACTTTTTCCAGCTGGCGGGGGTTTCAGAATCTGCAAAACAGCTCAATGGATTTGGCTCAGGATATTATCTATATAGCCCTTCCTAGGAGGAACCAAAGGTCCTTGACTTTGTTTAATGGCTTCACTATTATTAGTCTTGCTTGATTGTTTTCCTTTGTTTCTGCATTTTCTCACTTCTCTGATTAAATTTATTCTTTGGAACTTGGGGGAAGACCTAGGCAACCAAAGTTTTTCTACAAACAAAAAGCAGGCAGAGGATATAGGGTGGGGTGGGGGCCTGTCCTGGGAAGTCTTGGTTACGGCACCAGCTTTGGACATGACTAAATGGATTGAACTGAGTCTGAATTCAGAAGCATGGTTCTGACTTCTGCTACCAAGGCGTTGTTGTTCAGTCACTCAGTGGTGTCCAACTCTTTGTGACCCCATGGACTGCAGCACACCAGGCTTCCCTGCCCTTTACCATCTCCTGGAGTTTGCTCAAACCCATGTCCATTGAGTCAATGATGCCATCCAACCATCTCATCCTCAGTCAACCCCTTCTCCTCCTGCCCTCAGTCTTTCCCAGCTTCAGGGTCTTTTCTAATGAGTTGGCTCTTCATATCAGGTGGTCAAAGTATTGTAACTTCAGCAAGGCCCTGCCCACCCAAATTCTTAATTCCACCACTGGAATCCTTTGACTAAAGCTTTTATTCCATTAATATTGGAAACAGTTAATTATTCGTTGGTTGATTCCTCGGTGCACAGTTCTCAGACATAAGCTGGGCCAGGCCCCTGATAGACTGGAGTGAACAGCACTTGGTTCTGACCCAGAAGGGAGGGGCTATAGAGTTGGGAGGCAGATGAGAACACAGCAGTAAGTAGGGTCTGCATGCTAGGATGGAGGAAGCACAGAGAAGCTATCCGGAAGCGCAGCAGAAGAGCTTCTTAGTAAGGGGGGCCCAAGGAAACTTCTTGCAGAAGACAGAGTGGGATCAGCTGAGGGACAGGGTGGGATAGTCCCCTCCTGCAGGGGTGTTACCAGGCCTAGACAGAGACACAGATAAAAGGCTCAAGTCACCCCAAGTAGCCTGGAGGGTCTGCAGCAAGGGAAGGGAGAAGGGGCGGAGATGGGGTTGCAGGCACTGTCGAGGCCTTGAAGCCCACACCAAAGAGCTTGGTCTTGATCCCCTAGAGCAGGGGTTCCCAACCTCTGTGATCTACTGCCTGGTGATCTGAGGTGGAGCTGATGTAATAATAACAGAAATGAAATGCATCATAAATATTATGCACGTGAGTCATCCTGAAACCACCCCCCACCTCATCCATGGAAAAATTGTCTTCCATGAAATCAGTACCAGGTGCCAAAAACTCTGGGGACCATTGCCCTCGAGGATGTGGGGCCAATGAAGGATTCAGTAAGAAGAATCTGCCCTTTGGTGGGTGAATTTCTGATCTTTTTCCTCCCAGAGGGTTTTTTTCCTAAAAAGTCATAATAACCATACCTGACATTTGTATAGCTCATCACAAAATTACAGTGGGCTCTCATGCACATTCCCTCATTAAACCTCCCTGTGAACCAGGGCAGTAGGCATTACTGCTCACATTTCACGGCTTAGTGACCTACAGCTCAGGTGATGGCAAGCCCCCCCGCCCCCCACGGCTGCCTCCTTGCAAAAGCGACAAATGGCAGGTGGGGGGTTGGGGGGCGGGGCGCGGCCTCAGGGAGTAGTTTTCTCCTGCAATAGGCCAGCGAGGACATGAAATCAGAGGGGTTTGGGGGGGCAGGTTGGGAGACCCAGACTAGAACTGATGATGCCACTTCATATGATGTAAACTTGAGAAGTCATTTCGCCTCATCCTGTCCATTTCCTCCTCCGTAAACAGCACCCACATCACCTGTTCTCCGGGGTGCCCTGTGTCGGAGGGTCTCAAGGCCTGTGGGCTCCACTTGGGGGAGAACCCTGGGCGCTCCCTGCCAGCTCCTGCCCCACACCCCACATCTGCCCTGGCCACAGCTCCCTGACCACAAGGGCCAGCAGCCCTTGCCACGGGTAGCGGTGCTGGGGCATCATTTGCTAATTGGCTTCGTGTTTGATAATGATGCTTCCTGCTGCCAGTCATTTCCCACATTCAGAGCACGCTGCCCGGCACTTGACCCATGCAGTGCAGGCAGGACTCCTGCGAGTAGACGTGATTCTCTCTTTCATACAGAGGAGGAGTTTGAGGTTCAGAAGCATGGCCGGCGCGTAAGGCTTTAACACCAAGCTGCCGTCATCTCCTTCTGGTTGCTTCCTCCTCCTGCTAATTGGTCCTGGAGTAAGAGGACCACCCAGCTCCCTACCACTTCCCTTCTGAAATTCAAAAGCAAGACTCAGGGAATACTAACACCCACGGCCCGCTCCCATGGCATCTCCATCGTCGGAGTCCCCTCCTAGCCTTCCCCGGCAACGAGGAGAGGCTGGAGATGGAGTGTCTTAGAAGCAGGCAGTTGAATTATCTAGAGGACGGAGGGCGCTCCTGTGACAGTTGAGCCGCCTGCTTTCTGCTGACACCTTCAGAAAGTAAAGGAGTGTTTGCTCTGTGAGCTGAATGCGGGTCGTTATCACAGTAGCCTGTGGAGGGGGCCAGATGAGGGGGTGGGGTGGCAGTGGAATTATTAAATATTGAAATTGATCAGGAGTAGCAGCAGGAAGCTATTTATCATGTTTTATTGCTTCAAACTAGCATTACCATCTGGCCCATTGTTAATTCTGAGTAGCTTTTCATGTTTTGTTTGCCTCTCAAATTGCTCCCCGTAAGCGGAATCCACAGGGGCTGCCCACAATAACAGGCTCGGGTGAGGTTTTTCTGGGGTCTGCCGGGTCTCTCCGTCTGCTGACCAACCTGAGGAGGTGGAAAAAAATACTTATTTTTAGAACATACTGATGCGCAAATCCTGGGCTGGGACCTTCGAGGTCCTTCCACCCTGCCTTAGCCCCCGGATGTGCGGAACAACGATCCTTAGTAGGAACTGCAGTTTTAAGATCACCTCCAGTGTGCAAACATCAGTGCTAATGCTCACACCAGACCTTTGAGATGTGTAATCAGATCATGGTTTAAGGGCTTCTCTGTTGGCTCAGAAGGTAAAGCATCTGCCGGCAACGCAGGAGACCTGGGTTCAATCTCTGGGTCAGGAAGATCCCCTAGAGAAGGCAATGGCACCCCACTCCAGTACTCTTGCCTAGAAAATCCCATGGATGGAGGAGCCTGGTAGGCTACAGTCCCTGGGGTCCCAAAGAGTCACACACAACTGAGTGACTTCACTTTCAGTTTACAGAGGAGGGTCCTGAGGTTCCAAGAACAAAGGTGACTCGTCTGAAATCCCATAGCCAGTGAGTCGCAGAAGCCAGATTTGAACTCAAGCCTTCTGCCTCCTGATCCCCAACCCTGGGCCACACACAGTGGTGCTTGTTCATTGCAGTGACAGGGGAGAAGGTGGAGCTTGTGAGGCAGTAAGTGAAAGGTCAACTCACGGAGCCCAGGGAAGGCAGAACTCGGGTGGGAGGTAGTACCAGGTCCATGCCCTTGTCTCCCCTTCCTTCACCCTCAGAGGTTATACTCCTGTGTCCATCACTCCTGAAAGGAAATAACAGGGTCTGGAGGCAAGGTGTGGGGGAGCATATAGGCAGTGGGCTAGACAGGAAAGCCAGAAATGAGAAGCTGGTCTGTGCCCATGGACTCAGGGGCCACTGCTGTTTCAGCTGTAGCAGGCTGGGGCCCAGGTGCCCCCTAAGAAGGTCGCTCTAGCACCTCCTTTGCTCAAGGAGAAGGGACTTCTGAAGTCAGCCACATTCTTAGGACCATGCAGGAAGCTACTGGATGTCCAAAGAAGACCTTTGTGATTGAGTGGTGCTTCTTCCTCTTGGCAAAGGTCAGCAGAGATACCAGGGAGTCCTGCTTCCTTCCCTCCCTCCGTCAGTCAGGGCCGAGGGATTCTCAGGCCCTGGGTTCTAGCACAGGCCTGGCGAGAGGTGTGAGTGCTGTGTGGGAAACGGGCAGCTTCACCTGCCCCAGAGCTGCTGCTGTGGGGCTGGCGAGAAGGAAGTCAGAAGGCAGGTAGAACATGAGATCTCCGTCCCAAAGGGCTGCACTTACTCATTTTCATTCATTCAACAAGCAGGCAATGGACATGTTACCACATATCCCGCCCTATGGGAATAGAAAGACATTATTTTATGGACACTATTCTCAAGGGGATAAAAAACAAAAACAATAGAGATTGTGTACTGAACATTTACTATGTGATAGGAACCAAAAGTGCCTGTTGTGAATGGTTTCATTTAATTCTCACACAGCCCTGTGAGATAAGGGTGGTTATTCCCTCTTGATCGGTGAGAAATCTGAGGCTCAGAGGGGTGACTTTAAGCCAGCATGTCAAGTCTTACAGTGGGGAGCCTGGGATCTGAACCAAGAGCAGTCAGCCTTCGGAGCTCAGCCACGGCCCTTCCGTGATACCCTGCGTCTCCAGCCACACAGGTGCAAAGGGTGCAGCTGTAACAGGGTGGGGCCAGAGCTCCCATGGGGGAAGCCACAAAGGAGGGGGCATGAGGG